AAGCAAGCAAGCAAGCAAGCAAGCAAGCAAGCAAACCACCAATATAACCACACAATTAAGATTATGGAGCATGACTACATTCCTCTGAAAGTCTGCATGGAGTCCTTCTGACTTCCTAAACTCCATTGAATGTAGTGACATTTCCTCTGCATATATTGACATTTGCAACATGCCATTCCTGACGTTCAGCTTGTAAAAACATTGTGGAAGCACTGAACGAATGATCCTCTTTTCCTCCCACATGGGAACCAAGGCTGCGTACAGCATAAATTAAAACAAATGTAGCTTTAAAAAACAACAACAACACTCCTGGGACTTAAAAATTGAATAAAGACCATTAATTTAGAACAGTATAAAACGAGCAGGAGAGCAGCCTGGTGTAGTGGTTTGAGGATTAGACGACTCTGAAGACCAGAGTTCGAATCCCTGCTCAGATAGGGAAACCCACTGGGTGACCTTGGGTAAGTCACACTCTCTCAGTCTCAGAGCAAACCCCCTCTGAACAAATCATGCCCCCCGCAAAAAAATCCTGGAACCTTAGAGCCACCATAATTTGAGTTTCCACACCCAAGCAAGGATTTGAACTCTGTTCTCCAGAGTCAGACGCTTAAACTACTAAACCACGCTGGCTCACTGGTAGTGGTATTCCAGTTAAATAAATTGTGGCAGTTGATCTTTGTAAGCTACTCTTGGCATAGGCTGAAGTGAGAGACCCAAATATTTTTAAACAAATGAATCAACAAGCCATGGTTGAGGGAGTGCATCCTATTCACAGCCTCAGCGGCCAGAGAAGAGACACAAAAGCAACTATTGTCTGGCTTCTTCTGCTGCCGTTGTCTTCCTTCTTTGGCTCGTGGGACAAAGATGCTGCCAGCCTGTTGCCCAGCCAAAAAGGGCTCAGCTAACTTCATTAAATCCAAATCTGGGTTATTATTTTCTGGAAGATCAGGAGGCAATTAAACTCAGCCATCTCCTTTCCTTCTCCTTTCTTCCTCTGAATGAGCGAGATCAAACATGTCCGTTTGCGGAGAGGTGGGCACGATGTAGCTGTGGATGACAAAATAAAAGTACTGCACCCCCCTCCCAAAAAAAGAATTTGTTCCATAGAAATTTTCCTTCAGTCCCCAAAAATGCTGTGGCCAGAATGCTGACTGGGGCCAATGATTTGTTGTTGTTGGTTGTGTGCCTTCAAGTCATTTCTGGCTAATGGTGATCTGAAAGTGAACTTATCATAGGATTTTCTTGGTAAGATTTTTTTTTCTTGGCAAACCACCTTGAATCCCATTTTGGGAGAAAGTCTTCTCTTCCTATGATATGTCCCAAGTACGACAGTCTCAATTTGGTCATCTTGGCTTTTTCCAGGGAGGTTTCCGGCTTGATCTGCTCTAGGACCCATTTGTTTGTCCTTTTGGCTGTCCATGGGATCCTCAGCACTCTTCTTCAGCACCACATTATCTCAAATGCATTGGTTTTCTTCCTAACTTCTTTCTTAACTGTCCAGCTCTCACATCCATACATGGCAGTAGGGAGAATATATATATATATATATATATATATATATATATATATATATATATATGGGTATGGGCCCCAAAAATGTGGGTATCATGTAATTTATGGATATGTCCAATTCAATAATTTTACAGAGAATCACATGGGTGAGATAACTAAAATCAATACTTTCATTTGATGTTTAGGCAGAGCGCGGACTTAGTAATAGCTACTTCTTGACTTTCAGTTTTGTTTGTCACTAATGTTGCCGTTCCATGAATGTTATTGGCGTTTTGAAAACCTGGCATCACTAATCTATACACAGATAGATGTATAGAGACACTGTTCTAGGCAGGGCTCTTGCTCTGTGGTGCTTCTTCCTTGCCCTGAGGACTGGAGAAGAGGGAACCCGAGTTGTGTATTCCTGCATGGCAAGGAGATTGGATTATATGGCCCTTGTGAAACCTTCCGACTCTATGATTCTTTGATGGTACTCTCAGATCCTCACCTATACTCCTGGATGGCAGGGTTTGAACATCTCTGTGTAGGAGGGAAACTGGCAAAGAGGAATACAATGGAGGCCACACATTAAGGCCATGGAGGTGTGAGGTTTTGGGCCTCAGTTTCCCAAGCTCAACTACAGCACCCAAGGCGTGGGATAAACTTGGATATTTTCTAATTTTTCCCACCCCTCTGGGCTTTTCCTGCCAAGGGAGTGGTGTATTTTTCCCCTGCCCAAATGATCTCTGGACCTGTTGCAAAGTCCTCAAACAGCTGCCCCAAGCATCTGGGCAGGTGACAGCGTGTGCCGGCACTTCCCAAATCTGGCCCACCCTCTCTCGGGGCCGTTGCTTTGAAACCCACAAGTCCTCCGGAGGGCAAATATTCTTCGCCAGCCAGCATCTGCCCAGACGTATCCCGGGAGCACTGTGGAATCGCAGCGAGGAGAAGGTTCCCACCATTATGCTTCCAAGTCTGTGGCTCCGGGCGGTGTGTTCTTGGAGGGAGCGATGAGTAAACAGGTGGAACCTGGAAGGAACACCTGCCGATGGGCTCCCGGCCCCATCAGAGCATCTCTCAACACGCGCAGGTATAGCTTGGAGGATGGAGTGGGTGGAAGGGGGAAGGAGAGAGGAAGCCAGGCTTGGTGTCAGCCACTTGGCCGCCTGAATCACTGGAAAGGTTGCCCTGAGCAAAGCTCCCCCTAATGAGACGGGTGTTTCCAAAACTCAAAGGCAGCCTTAGACACACGCACAAGTGCACACGCAAATTAATTGAACCGGTACACCGAATTGTGTTTGTAATTAACACGGAGGCCCCAGCAAAGCAAGGAGATGTTGGCCTAGGGTTGCCAGACTGAAAACTGGAGACGTCTCTTGTACCTTGAATGGCTGTCGAATTCAGAGACACAGCCATCTTAGTCTGGAATATCAGTATGCAAAGGGATCTTGCAGCACCTTTGAGACTAGCTGTGCAAAAGGAGTTGTAGAATGAGCTTTTGTAGACTTGGTCTACTTCCTCAGATGCTGTAGGCTAGTGATTCCCAAACTCATGTTTTTAGCTCTTCCTTGAAGGAGTCAAGAGACTAAACCATCAGACTGCCTTAAACATAACAGCATAACAGAGTATAAGGCCAGAAATAAAATGCATTCATGGAGAAAAGGCCTTTAGTTAACACATGAGGCCTTGGTGTCATTCAGTGGTTCCTTTGTTTTACACTTTGCCAAAACATTTAGGAAGTATGTTGGAAACAAACACTCCTTTTGTGTTGTCCACCCCCTTCTGTACCCCTGAAGTTACTGTTGGATTTGAGTCTCCTGAAGGAAACTGCATATCAGAGCTCTTAAAATTCCATTCTGTACCAGCGATAGGCATCCATTGTGACAACATGTTTGCAGGAAGACCTTGTCATGGCATCATACTGATAGCCACAAGATGGAGGAAGTCTGGATGCTGTCATTGGGCGATACAGGAGTCCAGAGGCAGTGTATCCAGTCTCCCCTTAGTGTGAAGAGGTTGGTGTACAATCTGTGGCTAAAACCTCAGTAGTAGTTTCTTTTAAACAAATATTTCTTGCAATCAAGCACTGTGAAAGAATATCATTGATGTAACACGCTGCCTGCCAATTGTATTTTGCAAAAGATTTTGATAATGCAGTTCTGAAGGTATCA